ATAAACGTATGTGCTATGTCTACCAACATTCTATCAGTATTTAAGTTAACATAACTGGTTTCTATAGCTGAATAACCATCATACAAATTGATAGAAATTATATTATTACTAATATAACTGACAATAACAACGAGGCCAGCAACATAGTAACCTTTGTGCAAAGCCTACATATAACACCTTTACTACAAAGAAACTAAGCGTAGATTTTAACTAGCGATTTTTTTTTACATTAGCCTTACTAATCTTACTAATACGATGGATGTTTGTTAGGAAGAAAACCCGACACTATGCCGGGGTATCGGCGCAACACTAGCCTTATTAAAATGTCAACGTTTATATCCCCTCACTAATCAATCTGACACTTGCCTTGGTACCGAAAGCACTAGATTCGCGCCAAAGGATTCTCGCTAATAATGTCTTAAAGGTATATCCAGGACGGTTGCATGGATCTCGCTGAAATTTGGCATAGATGTAGAACATAGTCTGGAAGAACACATAGACCACTAATTCATTTTATTTTCATTCCGCGCGGACGTAGTCGGGGTCGACAGCTAGTTCAAATATAACTGAACAACATCTTGTAATCATTTGCTCGTTTACCTCATTCGATCGTGATAAAATTAAAAATAAAGAACATTGAAAAAGTTCAGAGAAGATATTGGCTTTTGGCCCAACGTTAATAGCTTCGATGAAAACAACGGATTTAATTTGTTGAATCATCTGATCTCGGTGTAGATAAACTGTGTAAAAAAACTCAACGTAATCATTCCTGCTAAATACTGGCGACGTGATCAGATGCATGCAAATATAGGAAATGTTAAAGATATCGTTTCCTCTTACAAAAGTCAAGGAGAGTTAAGGCGAATGACATGTCAGGGTAGAGTATCTTGAATAATGCGTTTGTATATCAAAAATTTTAGCAGACAAAATGCATTAAAAAACCCATTGTAAGTGTTAAATACAGTACAAAAGATTAGCAAAACTACAAAATAAATTTGACATTGGCTAGTAATTGTTACATACAAATAATCTTCACATTTATCAAGTAACCAGCTTGCCCACGACTACATAACCGCGGAATTAAAAAAAAAACAAAGTAAGTAGTCTATGGTGTCTTTTAGATTATGTTCCAAATTTTGTCAAGATCCATTGAGCCGTTCCAGATTTACGTTGCAGAGTTACTGTCGAGTTGTTAGCAAACATCCATACATCAATCAATCTAAACTATCGCATTTTAATATTAATAAGATAGTTGGCAGGTTATCTATGTTGCTAATTTTCAGTTGCATTTTAAAATAAACCATGAACATAATGTGCAGTGTATCAAATGTGAGCTATTGTTCATGTGTTTGCCGCTCATGTGTACATACGGCGACATATTTCAAAAACAATGCTCGCACACCGCTGTTTCTGGAAACTATTCAACCGCAAGAAAGAAAACGGTGTATGCAGTACTCGATGTCACCTACAACCAGCTACTGATTGAAGCCACTAAAGACTCCTTTTTCTTAATGCTTAATCCTTCAAATAACACAAGTTAAAAAAATTAAACCTGTGTACCTTTCAGGATTTTATTGTTATCCATGTTTTTTCAAAACAATAAAAGGGATGACAGTTATTTGCGTGAGCACCGTTTTCATCACTTCTAAACTGTTGTAATTCGATTTTACAGGCTAAATAACAATAACATATATCCGGAATCACTTTACCGTACACGTGACATACTATGAGTACAATATAAACCGTTTTCCTTGCCTATCACTTAGCAACAGAGCTGCCGCGAACGCGTTAACCGATCACCTTACAACAAACACATGCACTGCAGTATTCCTCGAACACAACTACACCAAATACATAGAAACGAACCTATCCATTTGCCATAGTGTTGGAATAGGTTAGGTCTTCATATGCACAATCTGTGTAAAACAAACCCAGTCAAGAAGCCGCTATTCAGTCTGTGCATTTTCGAGAAATTAAACTGGCATATTTTAAAGCATAAAGAGGACTTAGGGTTTTCACTGGCGAAACATTTATACGAAAACATATCGCCTTCCCTCTCATTCCTGAAGAGAAAACTGAGAAAAAGCAATGATATACCCAGAACAAAGATAGGTGTAACTCTTACACTATTTTTAATTTTTAATTTTATATATTTTTATTTAAAAACTCACATTATCGTTAGTTCAAATACGTTAATGTAAATTATTTCTACGCAAAACATGCAAATAGCTTTCGTCTGGATAGATATGTAAATGATGGACGTAAAAACTACGAGACAGCGCTGCGCCGTTATCGTATCTAGTCATTCAGACGAGGGTTTCTATTCTATTATTTAAAGTTTTATAAAACTTCTAGCTGTCGCCCGCGACTCCATCCGCGCGGAAAACTTAATTAGTAACCTATGTGTTATTCGTGATTATGTTCTACATCTACGCCAAATTTTAGATACGAGTCGATACATCCAACCATTCGTATTTACAATGTTAGTAAGATTTATAACACATTTAATTTTAAGAAATATTTATTAAACGAGTAGAAGCTATACTAACTATCAATTAGGCTACATGTGAATTGTAATTTTTAAACAACATTTGGCAAACAGTACCTACCTAATACACTCCTAACAGACATTGCCACAAAATATGCTCAGGATAACGAGTCAAAGAAACTACTGTACCTTCTACTAAAAAATTCTACGGAGATCACAATAATTTGCAAACTTATTCTTATAGCAATATTCTATATATTGCAGCTCATTTAAATTCGTGTAATTCACTTGTTTATTGCATTCTACAATAACAAAAAATTGAATACTATTTACAGAGAGCGATAATGTTATTTACTGTCGACACCCGTCAACCGGCAGCTGCTGGTTTAAACCGATCTGTCACCGTTTGACCACGATACAATCAACTCGCTAACGCCGTAATGAACAGATTCATGCTTTCTGCGAGTTTAACTGACTACACACATATAAAATAAACATATACGTAGTTATCTGGTTTTGTTTAACAATGAAAAGGATAAGTTTTTGTAGAACCTTCATGTGTCTCGGCAGTGAAATTTGATTGACACGAATTTACATAAAATTAAAAATTTTGTTGCAAGTGCTGGAATTGAGTACCACTCCACCACTATAAGATTCTGTGAACGTCACTGTAGCGTGCTTAGATAAAAAAAAGCTTTCGTTATAAAATAACCTAAGAAGGCTAGTAAATTCATCACCATATTCATAGCCTTATCCCACTCATGTGGGATCGGTGGACAAGGTTCTATAAATATTAAAGTTTTAGCTCTATTTTTTTAAAGCCAGCTGCTAATAAATTGAATATGGAAAATCTAAATTAGCTAACTGTATACAAGCCAAAGATCCTAATAACAAGAGCTTTACATTATTTGCAAATATTTTATTTTGCATGCATTGTAGATTTAGGTACGCATAACAATATGAATCATGACTCAAATTCTACGATTACACAAAACGACTCATGTATTGCACGTTAGCAAGTACCTGTGAAAAGCATATCGTGACATAGGAAACTTTGCATTAACTTGATAGATCTAATTAAAATTTGCGTATTACATTCAAGGACAGCAAATCCGAAAAATTATAAACACTACCACAATGGCCCAAGGACCATAGATTAAATAAAAAAGTCTTTTTAGCCGACTACGTACTTTTTTTTATAACAGAAGGGGGCAAACGAGCAGCGGGAACACCGAGGTGTTCAACGACGCCCATGGACATCAGCAATACCAGAGCAATACTTCTGCCATATTGCTGCCTAATAACCGTCTCTATTATTTGTGTGTGTGAAATTCTGGATTAAAAGCTAAAAGCTGTGACTCAAACTTTATTACGTCATGAATAGAACACAACTCTTTTCTCTATAGTGAAGTTTATTTCATAATGGTATAAATTAAGTTGCCTTTTTAATCGACGCTTAAGTTTCGTTTTGGATTAACTGTTAAAAAAATTCTAGCCTTTACAATAAACTAACTTCCTAATATGATTCTTATGTTAAATGTTGCTTACGCTAATGTATGGTTGATCGACAAACCATTCGTGATTGACATTTCTTCGATCTTCGTAATATGTTAAAAATGACACTGGTACTTTTTATTATACTGGTACACCATGTATATACCACGCAATTTTTGATTCGCATGTTACATGCACGGAGAACATTCGTCTAGAAAAGCGCGTAATCATGCGCACGCATGCACGCGTAAAAAAATATTGTCTGCAAATTTGATTAGTTTAAAAATTATTTACTTAAAAATGCAAATGATTTAAAATATGTCTCATGATATTTAAATACTATTTTTACATATTTTATTAATGTATTTTGTTTAATGTATTTTGTTCAATTTTCGTATTTTATTAGATTTAAATTACAAAAACAGAAAACTAAAACTAAGATCAAGGCATTATGTCTGTTACTTTGCTATACTTTTCAAATCATGTACAAATAATAATAATATTTATGTTACAAACATATTCATAGCTTAAAAAATATTTGTATTGATTTTCCTTAATCATAAAATGCAAGTCAAAGAAACTCTCTTAATATTTAGGTAAAGCCGTGAACACATAGGCTTAATAAATCCTATAAGATGTTTTAAGTAAATAAAGATTATGACCTTGTTTAGATAAATAAAACAAGGTGTGTATTGTTTGTTATGCAGTAGGACAAATGAAGCCATTTAAAAACTGCTGTAACAACATTGATATAATTATTTGTTCGGATCATTACAGTAAAGATAAGTCAACTCTACATTTTGAATTAAGCTATCTTAGATTGTCTTGCTATGATAAGATATTTATTACTGTAATCATGTCATTTAAGTGTTGATCTTTACTGTATTTAATGAATTTATATTAGAATTTTCTTTAAGAAAATGGATTTTGGGACTGTGCATATAAATACATTTCTTATTTATAAATTAATAATTTAATTTATAATATAAATGTAGAATAAATTAGTTAAGAATCTTACCTGGGGGGCTATCAGTCAGGATTGTAATACCAGTTGGGTCAACATGTGGGGGGAATGCCTCATACAGATCCGGCTCCTCTTCGAGCACGGCGGACAACATCGCGGAGGGCATTCCGGGTCGGACAACACTCACACACTTTCACTATGACTAGACACAACACAACACTGCACCAGAATCACTCAAAGTTCTTAGCTCGCTCGGAACTCACACTAATGAGCATCCCTGAGCCATCGCTGGACCATCACCCTTTAGTATGTCCTCTTCGATCTAAGTCAAATCTTGCTGCACCATTTTTAAATCTAAAACAGACAACACTCATATAATTACTGTAGACTGAAAAAAATATTTTATACCAAAATATAATCTAGAGATAATATTTTATCTATGTCGTAATGAAAGGGCTCCATTGACACGCAAGCTGAGGACTGCCAGGTAAATGGTTAATTGAATTTAAATATTGTCCCCATCAGCTGATTGCCGCCGCTGCCAGAAGGGGCTCGACAATATAAGTCTATTTTAAGAATACATGGCAGCTGATCGGGCACTCTTCAATGTCAGAAACGGGCGAGCGCGGAACGATTTCTGAACTCGAAACAAGAATTAAAATCTAGGGCGTGCACTTACCGAAATCCTGGCGATAAATGATGCGAAGCAGGATTTGCGACTCCGTATTTACCGCTTTGGTGTCCCTGCGGCAACTAAATCAAGTGGCTAGTTCCCGGCCCAACGTAATCTCGAATGGGATAATAGTTTCGAGTGGGAGCCGACGCTTCTGCTTTGTCACTTAACTCAGCCACTCGGTACATCACACAGATATATCTGATACTGACCATGCACACGGATGCATTGTGAGATCAATCACTGATATGCGGGATGATTCCACAACCCTTGATTCGACTAATCAGATTATTAATGTTTCCGGTGAAAGTCGCTTTTAATTTTAATTAAAGATATTTTTTATGGTGTGTTGACAATTTTGGTACAGTCTAGGTATACGTTTCAGTGGTAAAAAATTTACTGGGTGAAGGGAGCGGCACGTCTGCTTTATCCGCGATTTGCATGAACGTAAAACTACATAAAATGTATAGCTATACACCAGTCAGCAGTACACCGTCATTCAGTGTTCGGATTCGGTTCGGAGTTTGTCGAGTTTACTTTCGTGTATTTCTCAAAGAGTATAAAAAGATGATAGGTGCCTTATTTTGTATATGTATACTGAAAACCCCAAGAATACATCGGTCCCTATTAAACTATTAAAGAGATGGGATTTCCATTGGACATATAATATATTTGATAAATTTTCAAATTAAAAGTGCGACAAATATGTAAACGCGATGTTATCCGTTATCGCGAGTACATATTCCTCGCACTATGCATTTGTAAAACAATGAATGTGAAAATGAACAACGAAAACCTAGAATTTCTGCACTAGTTATTCTTTTACTTCACTGATTTCTATAAATGGAGAGGCGATTGCTTGGAAATGACAGCTTTTAATTCCTTCTTATTTAAAAGCTTTTGCTGACTCAACATGACAGCTAATTCTATGTTAATTTTTGTTTAGAATCCACACCACCACTTCAAACCGCTACCATCAGCGCCAAAATGGCGAAAATTAAATAGGCACAAAATACTCCATTCCATAGCCACTGCATTCATAGATGTCAGTGTTTTACTTCTTTAACGTTCTTCTCTATGGTATTCAACATAATTCTCTCTGGTCATCATTGTCATTGCTTCCAGTGTTGACGACATAAGCAATTTGTCAAAAATTAGGCTTCTTAGAATTGAAATCGGCGACAAAAGATTCAAATGGCGACTCGCCTTTTAATCTACTTGAGAGAAGCAGATGACGCTGACAACAGATGAAGCAGAATGCTTATGAAACTCTGATTTGATTTTAGTTGTGAAACGCTTAGTAAAACTAAGTTGTAACGAATTTTATAGCGATTGGGCTTCTTTGCTTGCTGGAAAAATTTCAATAGCATATTCGGAGTTGCTGGCAACACTGACTTATTGTCAAAACGAAACGAGTTGTAATTTCGTCGTTTTCATTTCGTTCAATTTCGTCAGTTTACATTTTATATTATAAAAAGATTGTTTATTATGAAGTATTTTCGGTAAAAATAATACGGAATCATGTCAGCTACGAAAACTGATTGTTTACAAGGTAATTATTGTGCTAAGCATTATAAATCGAATCATTTGTGGTTTATAAAGTTTTCATGAATTATTAATTTGCAGATACAGTGACAGTGTTAATAAATGCTATTGGGGATAGTGAAAATTCCGTAAATAATGTTGTAATTAAGTCCCTAACGAAAATAGCAAACATATATCCGAATGAAGTGATAGATATATTTAGTGAATTTTATAAGAATAGCGCCAAAGTCAACAATACGCAGCTGAGCAATATTGTTAAGTGAGTATTCAACAATTTTCTATTTAAATGGCTGAAAATAAGTCTTATAAGAATTACGTAAAGTCTTAGCCAATTGCTTCTGATCATATTTTCAATAACTTTAGTTTAATATTTTCATTAAATTTAGGCAAATGCTTTGCATTAACAGCTACGTATTTTACGCCACACATACATTTCACCTTTTTTTAGCTTTTAGTGACCTTGATAAAGTTATCAAGATAGCTATACATATTTAGAAGCAATTATTAGATTAAATAGCTGTTTAATATCTTGATCTATACAATAATAAAACTAAAACAAGTTTGCGCCTCTATTTAATTTTTTTTATTTTACTATATTATAGTACCGCAGATGAACAAAGATTCATGTAAGTTATTACATACCCTTTTTTATTAAATAAAAGTACTAAAATTACATTTTATTTCTTTATTAGTAAGCTCTTAGTCTAGAATTTTCCTTTTACAAGGTATTTACAAATGTTACTTGATACATATTGATATTCTTATAAATATTTTTGAATGTTTGTATTGTTTTTGTGACAAACTGTATTTTATGGGTATAAATATTCTTGATTTAATTTGTTTGTTAAAGTTGTAGTTGATTATATAGTTCATCAGATTCATTGAATTTAATTTATTAGAAATACATTCTGTATGCATTTTCATTACATTTTGATACAAATGTGCTAGTGACCAAATGTCCATATCAATAATTATACTAATAAGACAATTTCCATCTCTGACCATTCAATCATTTAACTATAATATTACTAGAAACTTAAAAGATACATAGCATTTAAAAGATTAAGATTCTTAAGATAAGATAAGATCGCAAAACTTCCTGCCTTGCGCAGCAGAATTGTGGAATGGCCTGTCCTCGGCGGTATTTCCAAACCACTATGACTTAGGGTTCTTCAAGAAACAAGCTTATCACCACCACAAAGGCTGGCAATGCATCTGCGGTTCCTCTGGTATTGCTGATGTCCGTGGGCGTTGTTGAACACCTCGGTGTTCCCGCTGCTTGTTTGCCCCCTTCTGTTATAAAAAAAAAGATGTGATCTGCTGCAAAATTAGTAATGTACATAAAGGACAGTCAAAGTAATACATTTTCAGTGCATCAAGATTGAGCACAAGTACTTAAGAGATCTTGGCAGCTCTTAACTTTGCTTGTGTTGCTGCATAGAACACAATTCGTTAAGAGTGCCTTGATCTTGAGTCGCCTAGATATTTGAATAGAACTACACTATGATAAATTTAACCTTATTAAATTGTGGATCAAAGAGGCATATAACACTTGAAAAGTTAAATGCTTTAGTTATGAATATTATGTACTGTCAGTATGTCTCTTCTTAGTTTGATAACTGTGTGGTAACAAGACTTTATATTGTGATTAACAGGGTTTTAGAACAAACATGTGTGAATCAAGTGAAGAAACTCAATTCAAAAACAGCAACGGATCTGGTGAATGCAATGCTTCGGGCAATGACGGAGAACACAGCTTACGAGCCTGTCATACAGATGGGAGCCTCGTCAGTGCTGGTTGCTGTCAGCCATGAGTACTTGGATATGGTAATTATTTATTTTAATCAACACTTTATACCAATTGAGTTATAACTCTTGAATACTTTGTTTTATATGGGCATAATAGTTTGGTAGATTTTCCGATTTACAGATTTTAAAATTGGCATTACAATAATTAATATTTAAAGTAAACCTGTCAGTTCGTGAATAGTAATAGTGACTTACATTTGTATCACACATTTTTTAATGAGTTAATTATTGAATGAAGTCCTAATAGAAACAGTAAAAAAAGAAAAAAAAGATATAGTACACTTGAGTAGATATAGATATTGGCAATAATTTAGTTACAGTCAGTTTCTGAGAACAAAATTCCCATTAATAGCATACTAGCTGTCGCCCGCGGCTCCGTGCACGCGGCTTTAAAAATAGATGTTGGCCGATTCTCAAACCTACTCAATATGTTCACAAAATTTCAAGAGAATCGGTCAAGGCGTTTCGGAGGAGTATGGAAACGAAAATTGTGACAGGAGAATTTTATATATAAGATTATTATATCTGCTATGTCAAAAAGATAGGGATGATATGTTTTAAATAGGGTTTTCGGTCTCAGAAACCTAGAGTAAGTGAAGACCGTAAATTTTGTGCAATATTTACTGTGTACTATCCTTGCTTTTATATATAAAACATAGTTTTTATCACAATTTGTTATTATAAACAATGTAAAACCAGGATCTTAATCTATACATATTGCATTCTATTTTTAAACATTACAAGCAGGATCATAACAGAATACATAAATAAAGGTCAAGATAAATATGTTTTCATTCCAAGCTCTGGAACAGACTGCATGATTCATATGTAAATGTAAATATATTGCATTTGTCTGTCCGCCATGTGCATCAGTTGTATTATCAATATAGATATCAGAGCTAGCTAATTTTATGACATGTGTTAGATATTAGAAGATTCTGTTACCACATATCAATAATTTACACATTGTTACAAAGTACTAATACTTTTTTTCTACGCATTTTTTTTTGTTTTACAATCTTTTAGTGTGGAGTCTAAAAGTCATCTGAAAGATGTTAATCTTACTTCTTCTTACGTACAAATACGAATGTTTAGATGGATGGATGTTTGTTTGTTTGAAGGTATCTCGGGAATGACTCAATAGATTTTGATGAAATTGGGCACACATGTAGAACATAGTCCGGAAGAACACATTGACTTCTTATTAAGTTTTTTTTTAATTCCACGCTGACGGAGTCGCGGGGGGCAGTTAGTAAAGTATTATAGGTGAAAAATATTTGCCTATGTGTCACTAAAAACTGTTATGACCATAGGTTTATTTTTGGAGACTACTTATCTTGGAAACAATTCACACAAACAACATTAAATGATAAAACATTGCTTGTATAATAAATTACAAACTGCCATGAAGTGATATACTTGTTATTTATTGATAGTCCAAAGTCTAAATGAAAGTGTTATTCCGCGAGTCAACAAGTGGTATAATCTTACATACAAAATATGTACATTCAAGTTGGAACAAGCAATTGCTACTTTACGAATTGTATGATATTGTATAGGTACTTAGGCTCCTCATCAACCAGCTGTCACCGGCGTCAGTGCCACACTATGCCATTGTTCACACATTGGGAACACTCGCTGCGGTCAACACGCACGACGTTGTGCCCCATATTAAGGAGATTCTAAGCAAAATGTTGCCCCTTCTAACTCTAGTCAAACAAGACGGCGTCAAACAGGCCTTCGCTTACGGTAAGTAGAGACAATGAAGAAGATAGGACTCTATTGAGATAGGTAATTTATAGTATTATAAACTTTTTTACAGCATTCGGTCACTTCGCAGTCGCCGTCGCAGAACAGATTGGTGACAATGTCGAGAATGATAATATTACATCCATAAAAGAAAATTTTGTTACGGAATTCTCCATAATATTTGATGTACTATACAACCAGTGGCTCTCATCTCATGAACCTAAAGTATCTGAATCGATATTGGAAGCGCTCGGCCCAATAACAAGACTGATATCTGAAAGGCAGTTCAACGAAACTGTAAACAAGTTTGTCCTTTCATTGCTGTCATTGTATCGAAAACCAGCATTAAACTTCTACTACATTAGTCAATGTATCTCTTATATGCTTTCACCGTCGACTTTGAATCCCAAGCTGACATTAAATGACAATGTAATAACTGCTATTAATCACGCCATGTTCAATTTGGTCCTTGTCGAACCGGATTATGATCAGCCGCACACTGTAAAAAATCATTTCGAAGTTTTAAGATGTTTCGATCACATGGCCGGACAGTTTCCAGAACAGACCATCGAAGGTCTCCTACATCACTGTAAAAATAACCAGGAAAAAGATAGAATGAAGGCTGTGATAATATTGACACACTTGACTACGTCGTCGCAAGTCTTTATTGATAAGTATGCTATCAAATTTATAGCTATTCTAAAAGTTATGATTACTATGGAACAAAACGTGAAAATGAAGAAATTGCTTATTAAAGCGATCGTAGGTTTAGTTTATAGAAATTGTATAACGACATCCGAAGATTTCTCTATGATAGAATTTATCATAAAACACTGCGGCTACGAGGGAGCTGCTAACATTCCTAAACACGACATATTAGATCTGCACGATACTTGTAAAAGTTCCTTAATACTTATGTGTAACACGGTAACGAGTGTTAGAACGCAATTACGAAATCTATTACTTACTGCGTTAACTGTTGAAGAATTTACTAGTTCAATGACTACAGTGAGTCATTGTTTAACTTCGCTTCTACAAAACAATTCCGATGTAATCGTAGACGAGCCCACAGACAAAGCTCTCGAAGTCAAAATAAGTGCAGATTTAGTTTTTGTTAGATGCATAACACACATCGTCGATCCTAACGAGAAAGAAAAGAATAAGAGTTTGTTGATATTCTTGGAGGAGTATTCCGGCGATGTTCATAAGAATTTAAAGAAATCATGGACGGTCGAAATTCAAAGATTGTTAAAGTTTGTAGATAAGAATGAATCGAGGGATCAGTGGCATGGCATGTTACTGGACATGTTGGTGTCCGCCATCGAACAGGTGAACAGCAACAAATGGGTGGAGACGATAGCGACACTGATTTCACAACAGGTTCTAAGCAAGAAACAGTCTCCAATGATAAAAGGTGTATCCTTACAGTACTTGGCTATCCTATCTTGTCACATGTCTAACGCAGCGGCCGTCGAGAAAGTCTTGAAAATAATACTCTTCTCTTTAAAAGCGATACCTTTGGAGAGTTGCGATTACGTCAGCAAAGCAGTCGGAATAGCATCTAGGCAGCACGGGGAAGACGTCATGAATGAGCTAGATGCTATCTATAAAGAGAATGAAGCTAAAAGAGGCAGTAAAATATTTAACTTCCTTTCGCCGAAAAGTTCCAAAAACGAAACGGAAATTAGTGTAGTTAAATTTGCAGCTATATCTTGTTACGGAAAAGTGGCCAACGAATGCTTAGACGTACACGTTTTAGCGCGTCTCGGGGAAAATGTAACATCTATTCTGCACGAAACATTGAAGTCCAATCCTCCTTTTGACTTGTGCAAAGCGAGCGTGACAACACTCTACGAAATAAGTAAGGCGCTTCAACCCGCGTCACATCATAACATCACGCTGCGGAATCGCTGGCAGTTATTAAATGCTGTCTTATCACAAATTTACAACTCAAACATTGACGGTCGCAACGTGGAACTGTACCCGATAATAGTAAAAGCTTCGAAAGCCTTAACTAAATTACAAAAAGGGATATTACCTGAAGAGAGGAATACTATACTGCGAGTTCTATTCGGAAGTATCTTCGAGGAACTGTCATCATTTAAGGATAAATATGAAATAGATGGGAACAGGGATAAGAACGATTTATTGGCTAAAACTTTGAACGATTCATTGACGTTACTGCACCAACTGATTAGAGAGTTGATAATACAATCGACATGTTTGAGCACGATCGATGATCTAGTCGGTCTTCTGATGGAGTGGATACGCAGTGAAAATGATGAAATCAGATCTGCTTCCATGCTGATCCTTCAAGTAGTTTTCGACTCTTACATTAAAAATGTAAAGCTAAATTATGAAACTCCAAGTAAATTCGGTCAGATGGGATATCTACTAGGGATACTGGTTCCGGGCGTCGCCGACACTAACTTCCAAGTGAGACTGACCACAGTGGATTGCATCAAATTGATAATTCAAACGCAAGATTTGTACGAAGGACTTATTGTCGAAGCGGACAATGAATGTATGGCGAGTCTCGCTCACCTACAGAACAATATATTGACGAATGATTTGAATATGATAAGTGATTACTGCACGATATTGTGCGATACAATATCATCTAAGATACCTCATCATCACACGATGCAGTTTATAGAGAGTTTATTAGAGGGTTACGATAGCCAGGAGTACAGGAGTGTAGGTATCAGTGCGGTGCTGAACGCTCTCTTCATGAAGAAGGGTCAAGATCTGTACCAGAATATTGAAAGGATAGTGGAGGTGATGCTGACCACGATGGACGAAGTGAACGAGGATGCCATGACCAGGCTGCTGTCGCCGCTGACGTCACTAACGCGGCACCACTCCAACGCGGTCACCGCTGTACTACTAACGCAGAAGTTGCCCTTGAAACCGTAAGTTTTTTATTGTTATGAATTTTTTATCAAAAGAATTTATCATTTATTTTTATCTGAGTGTCTTTTTTTAGATCAGTGATGGCCTGTTGGCGATGTCTAGCGAGCGATGAAAGTCTGTCAGAAGCTATCATAGACAATTTCCTAAGGCTGATGACGTCTATCGAATTGTACGAGGATCCCTACCATGTTACTGAAACTCACATCGCTGCGTTGCAGCCGCTTACTGTGAGTTTCATTATATTTCCTAAATACTTATAGAAAATTTGTTTTGATATTAAAAGTCCTTTTTCTTTGTATTTTCAGCTGATAAGCGCGCTCGGTGAAATGTTACAAGTGGGCACAATGAAGGCGCTGTGTATCGCGAAGTTCTCGGACATGTTCACTGTACTGTACACGACGCTGGCTTGTTACCTGGAGGCGGCGGCGCCTGCCTACACCGTGCCCACTGGCGGCCGCGAGCGCTTCGCCATCGTGCCCAACAGGGACGCCATCAAACTCTCCCCCGCCAAGATCACTGTTCACACCTTCAATGCATTCCTAGACCAAGCTGATTGTCAAAAGGTATGTGCTGGTTAGATTTTTTTGGATGTTGTGCTGCAAAAATTTATCTTTCAATTATTTTTTATAGAAAAAAGCTGCAATTTCGAGATAGTGAGGTGACCATGGCGCGAACGCAATTGAATTATTGTTTGATTTGGTGACCTTGAAAAAAAGTTGTTACGTCCGTTTTCAATATCTGTGACAATACATAACTGTAGGTGAGAGAGGCGTGCTCGTTGTGCCTGTCTGTGGAGCACGGCGAGGGCACGCTGTGCGAGCTGGCGGCGCTGCTGGCGGGCGCGCTGGCTGGACCTCGGCTGGCGAGCTGCGTGGCGCGGCTGGCGCGGTGTGCGCGCGCCCCGCTGCCCCCGCAGCGCTGCGCCGCCGCCGCACTGCTCGCCAACCTGCTCGACCATCGGTCTGTACATACAAATATTACAACAATGGTGACAATACATAACTACCACACTATTTCAAAGGAAAGACATATTTCTTTTTTAAAAATACCTCTTTGTTTGTTTTTTTGTCTTTCAAAAAGGTTGGCACCGGCAACTAATTTACATACTCATTTTTCTACTTAATTTGAAAGAAAAATAGGCGTCTATCAAAATGAAATTGAATTATACAGTAATAGAGCTATGTTAAATTTCAGTTGCAACGAGAAGCCGGTGTTGGCGGAGACGATCCTGGCGACGCTGAGCACGGGGTGGAAGGACGAGAACGCGCGAGTGCGCGCTGCCAGCCTGCGCGGCGCCGCCAACGTCGCGCGTCTGCCGCCCGCACTGCGCCCCGCAGCACTGCCCGCAGCGCTCAGCGCGCTCAGCCAGGGCATCGATGCACACAAGACACAGTCAGTTCTTTGCAACACTCTTTTGATCCTATGAGATAGATGCATTCTTAGACAATCCATTTATATTATCTTCTATCGGTAATTAAATATTCTTCTCTGCTTTTATTTAATTAAATGTATCAATAAACGTGTTTATTACTTCCTAATAATTTAGGTCCTTCGAGTCGGATATGTCTTTACTGATTACGATCATTCTTGCGCTAGCTACTAGCTTTAAAATCGTTAATAAACATTTTGTTTCAGATCTCCGATTGACAACGTGCCCCTGGCCGCCATCCAAGGTCTGAGCCGTTTGCTGACTGAGCTGGAGACGTTGGACAAGGAGTTTGATCGCGAGCTGCTGTCCATATCTCAGAAGATACGTCCCTTCATGAACACGGAGTGCGCGCAGCTGCGGGAGGCCTCCATCAGGTTGTTCGGCATCATCGCCTCCAGAGTCAGCTCGGAGACACTCATAGAGCAAGCTGTTAGCTCCCTGCCCTGCTTCTTGTTGCATTTGTGTGATAACAATCCTGCTGTTGTTAGAGTGAGTTTGATATTTTATATGCTTAATTACATTGATTTAAGTTTATTTAAAAGTAAAAAGTAATTGAACATAAAATATATATATATATATATATATATATTATGTTGAATAGCTACATACCATATATAAATTCTGGGGTAAACAAAGTTATCAAATGTCGCCAAAACTAGCCACTGTGATATTTGAAAAGACATATTTATTCCAGGCGAGTAAATTCACATTACGTGAAGTATTCAAAACATTGAAAGTAAAGAAGTCGAATGATTTCGTGCAAGCGCATCTCGTGGACGAGGGGCGGCTGTACCTGGACGAGTTCCTGGGCGCGCTGCTCCGGCAGCTGGCGGAGGAGATGCCTCGCTGCGTGCCCTCATGTCTGCAGGCCGCTGTTAACTACCTGCACTGCATCGTCGAGGAGATGAAGCCACATCCCCCGCTCTTGTTAGGTCAGTTGCAACTTTTAATCCAGTAAGTGATGTTTGCTGAGGTTTTAGACCCTTATAAAAAGGGTGGGAAAGAAAAATATTTCACATCACAAGCATAAAATGATTTAATTATGAAATTTTATTTAATAACTTAACATTTTCCTCAGGTCTACTATACGCGGAACTTTACCGTATACAAGAGAAGACATCAGAAGATATAGATCTAGATCCAGATATAACAAAAAGTGCTAAATCACGCTTACTGCAGTTGATTAAAGATCCCAACCCAGCTGTGAGACAGAACTCGGCGCTCGCTCTCGCTAATATATGTCTCGTCTGTGCTCACCATGGATGACCTCATGAGGTCTTACCACGAAGACAATATGGCCATCAGTATGACCGTATGGTCAATATGGTCATACGAAATACACGCTATGTATTGAAGTAAATATTTGAAATTATTAAGACATTTAAACACAACAAATATGTAGTCAGAGTAATTCCATTTGCCGCAATCATACATCTACATACAAAAATGCTTGTCACTTGGCAATATGATGAAAAGAGACAGACGTATTTTAACTAATATTTATCTCTCGCTCACTCATTCGGTATTCAAACATCATCAATTAATAGACGTCGCTAGGTTCTAGATCAGTGTGTTCCCAAACTTATTTTGTGTACTGCCCATTTTGAGATTAAACATTTTTTCACAAGTTATTGTTGAGAGTCGAGAGCTCATGCATCGTTGTCTAAGAGGCCTCCTAGCTAAATAAAGTTACAAATCACCCCCCAGGCCTCTACACAACGCCCCCATTTTCTTTCTGGGTCTCTTACCGCCCCCCTTGTGACCTGCAGCGCCCACAAGGGGGCGTTATCACCTACTTTGGGAAAGATTATTCTAGAAATTGACATTTTTCATACACAATTTATGTTGCTATTTAGATGCATTCAACACTTCATATGTTTGATTTGTATGTTATGCTATTAACTGCAATTTTATCACCTATTTGGTGTTACCACATTATTCATCATCAGCTCACTATACATCCCCGCCAAGGGGCTCGGAGCCTACCCTAAATTAGGGGTGAATACCACATTATTATTTAAGTGATTTTGTTGACATATGTTTTTAAATAAGCTAAGGACGTAAGACATGTTTGCCTTGAAATATGTAATTATTTTTTGTAACTGTTCTTTTGATTTCAAAATTAATTCCAACACACGTCATGCTATTACGATTTTTCGTGTAAAAGTGAATTTGGAAGTGTCGGCAGTGCACGTGTTATAAAAAAATATTTTATATTTATTGAATTATACGCAATTGCGTTTATTGTTTAAAAGTCTATAATAAAGTCTTTGACGAAAGTGTTTAGTGAGACTGAAAAAAAAATTAGAAAAAAAATCGAATAAAAATACTGTAATTTAGTCGGTTTGTATGAAATTGTTAACCAATCTAGTTATATTTTTAATATTGTTATATATATTGTTAGCTTCCTATATTTAGTGACAAGACATATAGGAGATAAATATCGCATAAAAATTAACCACCAGTCTGATTAAATGGCGTCGTCAGGGGTGGGGGGGGTTAGAGAGGGGTAGCTGTCGATTGGAAATGTTTAGATATCTGAATGAATGGATATTAACAGTTAAACAGATCTCGCTGAAATTAATGATAAATATAAAACACAGTTTGGAAGAACAAATAGACTATTTATTAAGTTGTTTTAATACCGCGCGGACGGAGTCGCGGGCAACAGCTAATATAAAATGCATGTAAATATTACTTTCTTGAATAAGATTCCCCCTCCCCTTAGACTTGGGTCTAGATCATCGGCTGGCGACGTCCATGTGACCTACAGTTTAATGTTAATTTCAAAAGACATGTTTTTATTATGTTTTACTAAAAAAAAACTGTGAAAATTATACCATATGTAAAATATGTTTTTTTATATAAATAAGTTTTATAAAATATTGTTATTGTATTATTTCAAAATTATTTTTTATCGAATATTTGTGATATTTGATTTTAAGTTTGATTTAAAGACGTTTTTTATTATGTTTTTTTTTAATGTGCTGTTTTATATAATCATGAAAAGCCTTATGTAGTGTAAGTAAATGTTGAAATTAAATTAGAATTGTATATGAACGTTATTAAGCTTAAAAAATAAATTTGAATCTTGAAATGTTTTACTTTATTTTTAAATCAACATTTATAATAAAACACATATATAGAAGTTAAATAAAAAAAATATTTTTTTTATAAAAGACAGTTAAACCATAGTGCATTTACACAGTCTATGTTAATCAACATTTGTCTATGGTGAGATAGGTTAAAAATCTATATTTTTTACGTCTTGTCTCGTTTTGGTTTCGTATAGAGCCAGAATACTTTATTGGCGTCGCAGTAGTCCCTGATCTGCCGCTGGTCCCACGACGTCGTCTCCATGCGCCATTCCGGAGATACGTAAGGCGGCTTGTATTTTGATATCGTTAACTATTAAAAAATAATAATTAGTGACGTCATTTTAATCTAAAAGAAAAGATTAATGTCAAAAAGATCGCTACTACGATTAAAACCGTCAGGTGCGGTTTTAACAAATTAATTTAACTTGTAAGAGCAAAATAGTCTTCAAACGATTAACGATTTTGGTCCGAAAAGCATTAGTTTGTGTTGTAATATTCACTACATCGCAACTCTACTGCATATTTTTCGTATATATCTATACAAATTACCGGAGCTGCCGGTGAATATTTCCCGAGCAACGGCGCCACGACATTTGACACCTCGGTGACAGGTTCGTAATCTATGGTCATTCGCGTTGTGTACGAACTGTTCATAAGCAGGTTCCATTTACTGAAAATAAAAGCGTTTGGTATAGTTCCGTATGTATTTTGCATTTTTTCTACTATAAACTTAAATTTAGGTAATATTCTTCATAATATTGTACTTACTCCTGGTCTTCGATATCATCCATACTAATGGCGGGAGTCATGACGAGTCGCGGTCTCGTTTTTCTGACACTCTCCAATTCTAAATCTTTTGGTTTACCCTATAAATAACATTAGTTTAAACTATATTAAGCAATCGATGCCACAATACTTTTAAAAGATAAACATAGGAAATGTCTGACTTACCGTAGGTCTCTAAGACCAACCAAAGAAAAGAAAGACCTAAATCTCAGCATAAAACGTATCTTTGTCTATGACAAAATAGAGATAACAATAAGTTTTAACTGGTGATTTTGGTCTCAGAAACCCACGGTTAAGGCATGAGGTTATGTGAAATTATTAACAAATGATTGATTCATTATTTAAAATGTGTACTAACATAAGCTGGTTGGATATGATGTGGATTTGTACGTAAAATAGCTTTTCTTGGAATTGTAAAATCAAAAGGTGCTCTCTCTCCATCCCATTCCCTCATCGTGTGAATATATTTAACATATTTCCATTTCTCTCGGATAAAAGGTTTTTTCTCTTGGTACACAGTTTTTATGAACGGTTTGATCGCACTTTCTCTGTAATCATTGGCCATAGTAGTCTTATAGTCGTTTATCATAGAATCTAAAACTTCCTGTCGAGTAGTCATTGTTATGTTTTTGTAAACACTATAACTACGTTGAATTAAATCAAATCGAAAATAAAATACTCAAAATAAACACAATTACAAAAGAAACCTCGAAAATATGTTTATCAAATAAATTTCTTGGATGACATAAAAACGTCATATTTTTATTTCTAACGGTTATTTATGAAAATAGATTATATTTAAAGTTTATTAAAGACTTGAAAAAGGAGATAACATGTGGAACTATGGTAAAATTCATGCGCCCTATTTCCCTAGGAACCTTTGCGAAAGGCGGAGAAATTAGCTTAGTTTAAAATTTTTGTTTGGTGTAAAACAAACTTAAATGAAACTACATTGAAATGTAATAAATTTATTTAAATTAAAACAGTAAGTTTAACAAATAACTAAAATTATAATTAAAAATCTTATGAAACGTATAAGCTAATCAAAAATACCACTGAAAGTCCATCAGGTTGACGTGACCTGTGAACTGTTAGGTTGTGTATACTTATGTACAAAATTCTATAATAACTTTATAAACTAATTAATTCGCTAGACATCATTTAAAAACATAATCTTCATATAAACTTCTGCTGAATAAACTACATGACTCTTAAAAACTTTACCTGAAAAATAAATAAAAAATATTATTAAACAAATTGAAGATCTGTTAATGGAGATATCTAGGACATTTAAAATCAAGGAACTTACCTCGATAGTGACAAAACATTTGTTGAGTTCAATACTGCCTCCGTTTTGTCCAAAAATGCATTGTCGGCTCGCAGTGGCTTCTTAATTGTTTTCTTTCCCATTTCATGGAGTCCATACGCCATTCCGGCGCTATGGTAGGTGGCGCTAACTTCGGAAGGTCGACCTAGAAATTAACAAGGTTTAAATGTGAACTCGGAAGTACATCGAGCTAAAGGTTGAATCCTAACAGTTATGATTCTCTTTTTAGCGTGTACCTTTTTCCAGTAAAATCCACATTAAGCGACTCTGGCGAAACAGCGCCAGTGAAATCAAGGATCAAGGTATTTTATGTTGTCACACAAAAAGAGAAGATTTTCACAACAAATTAGGGTAGGGCGTCGGACAGAAAGGGGAGTCACAGGTCTGCGAATTACACAATCTCACGTAATCCTGGTAAACCCCCTTCCTCTCCAAAGGGTAAAAAAAGAGGGCGCCTTAGAAATCTCGTCCACTGCGCTATTAGCAGTAAAACTGGCATTGGGACTAGAGTAGTTACAAAAGTAGGCTTACCACTCTTGGCGGAGCGTACTTCTCACATAAGGGCGCCTTTACTTCGGGCCGATCTCGAATGAAGCGGAATGCTTTCCTTGATTCCGAAGTATAAGTACTCTCCATCAGAATGTTTCGGGTTCTAAATAGTAGAAATTATTATATTTCACTCTTTAGTATTTTAAAATTTAGATTATTGTTTTTTAAAAGCAATTTATGATTAAAACTTACACCTTGTCATCGACGTCGTCCACGACGACAGCAGGTGATATGATGAGACGAGGTCTTGTTTTTCTGACCTCATCAGCTCTCAAATCAGGTGCCTTTTCCTAAGAGGAGTTAGTCAAGATTGTTAAGCCGGGTATAAACCGATTCGCTGTAGAAGTTAGGTAAAATTTTTAGAAATTTTACTTACGAAAGGAGGTTGTATATGATGTGGGTTTGTTTGTAATATTGGCTTCGGTCCAATCAATAAATCGAAAGGTACGCTTTGCCATTCTTTTAGAGTCTGAGTATATTTAATAGTAGCTTCCCTTTTCTTTTCTACGTTAACTGTTTTTGTATGCTTATTATCTTTGAACACTGTTTTCGGGGTCGGCTTTAAATCGTATACTTGGTAGTCTGTCCTCGAAGTCGTTAAATAATCGAATGTTAAAGAATTAACTCTCTCGTTGCTGACAGACATTTTTAAAAGTTATAAATATTTGAAATATAAATTCCAAACTGTCGTAACTGTCAATGACATTTAAAAAGTTTTTTTTTTAATTTTATGACCTGGTAACATAGACCTTTGGGTCATTTAAAAAGTGTCTAAATGACATAAACATAGATTAGTAATAGACGAAAAAAAAAACAAAAAAAGGCCGTTCATTGAATTAATAATTGCAGCACCAAGATTTTTGATTATCACTCGCCTCGCCTACGTTTCTTTAGTTAAAATTATAGCACGTGAAAAACCATATAGAATATCGTTTTTGTTCCAATGCGAATCAAAATACAAAAGCTTTGAACCTTTCTCTGTATCAATTTTTTTCAGTCCAAATGTTTCTTAGAATTGTTCGAAAGTTGTTTGAAACAAAATATGTTAGTTTAAGCTTTAAATTATGTTATTTTAGCTATGTTTTTTGTATGGTAAAAGTAAATAAAGATACAGTTATATTTGTTATAATTTATTAAGATTTCAATATTTAAAACAAAGACTATAACCGTGGATTTACACTGCCGGAATATGAATCGTTTGTCAGATATATCAGCTGTGAACACCCACGGTTACATTCAGAAATATATTACAATGAAAGAAAAGGTTTTAAAAAAATAAAATATTCATATATTTATCACATGTTTAGGTAAAACTTGCATAAAATCGTACAGAGTATCGTAAATCAAATGATTTTTCTACATTCGTTATTAAAAATTAAAAAAATGTAATAAACATTATATTTTTAATAGAACATTTTCAGAAATGAAAAGTTAAAAAAAATATAAATTTATACATTTATGAAGATAAACAAATTATATAAAAAAAATCACATCCTAACAATATATTGGCATATCTTTGTTTATATGAGATCGTATTTGTTTTATAAACAAATTAAGTAGCCACCTTCACCTAAATCAAGTTATTCCATTTAAAAATATTGATAATTAAATGTTTGGCGTTGACTCAGAATCGCTAAAAATATTTTTATAATGAATTTAATGGAAAAATATATGAAGAAATTATTTGATATAAACAGTTGACACATCATTGATATTAAAGTCTATAAGAATGAAGATATAAGTTTAAAAATTCACTTGCACAGATATTTCTTAAGGATACGACATATTAAAATATATCAGTTTTCTGATTGTATACTCTTTGACAGAAACTAAATTTTATCTGTCAAATTTGACAGATAACCTCAACTTGACAGATGACAACTATGTCATAATTATCCAATAAATATATTTATTTCTTAAATAAGCCCCTTAAATGCATTCCCTAGAATAAATATTTTTACACCTATCATTTATAAAGGACGCAAAATTGCCATTTCATTAAAAGGAAGATAATCAAGAATTAGAAAATATAAATCCCTGGAGACCAATAATGTTATATTTTAAAAATCTCTATTTACAATATAATTACATAACATTTAAATATATTACAATTTTCTAACTAATAAATAGGTAACATTTTAATTATTATACATTAAATACAGAAGTGGTCAACCTTTTTTTACTTAGCGCTCACGTCCAGGCGCCTCGCCTACCAGATTTTTGCGGCGCCTTTTTTTTATATCGGAGAAAATCTTCCAAACATAAGATATCTTAGGCGGCACTGCAGGCGCCCCATTATGCAGGGCGCCCTGGGCGGTCGCCCCATCTCGCCCTATAACTCTACTGCCCACCGCGAAAGATGAATCGTCCACAAGTGGGCAAAGATAAACAGTTGACTACCACTGCACTATAATTTATATGTGAAAATAATTTCTAATAAATAAATTAATACAGGAAAGTTATGCTTAAAACTAAATGCACACAAAATGGCGGGCAAGTTGACAAATCCGCGTAACCTCAATAAGGAAACGTGTGCATCAAAAGGATCAACATAAATAATGAAAATACAACGATATACTTTGGGGGTAAAGTCTTGGCTTGTATATATATGAGTGGTGGTCAATCTGGGATGTTTATTTCAGCCCAGAGTGGGCAGTGTGGGGAGGCGGGGCCGCCCCACGACCAGCCGCGCGGGATGGCCAGATGGCTGAGGCCGGAGCGGATGGCCGCCGCGCGCCCGTTGCAGCTGCTGGTGGCCACCTCGCCCGCGGACAGGATGGCGCTCTGGCCACCGCTGTTTACGTCTACTTTAGTCGGCACCGATTCATCCAACACCGACTCGCAGTTCTTTAACACTGAAAACAAAACAGAGATGATGGTGTAAGGATGGATATTTGTTTTCTTCTATCTCCAGAAAGGCAAAAAGGATCTCGCTGAAATGCACATTTAATTTTGCACGGACGAAGTCGCGGACAACTGCTATAGACTATATGATCACAAGTGACTTTCTCCGCTGACAGATGACGTAGGTACTTTCGCAAACACTCGGCAGAGTTAACTGATAAAGCACTGAATACTGCAGCCTGTAGATATGACAACGCGTACGCAATGCAGTGTCAAGAACATTACATCATTGCAACAAAAATAAATATTTCGCTTCAAAGAATAACAAATGACGGCATTATTTGTTTTATTAATAAAATATGTTGTGTTTTGTCGTGATATGAAAATATTTACGGATTGGAATTATCAGAGAGACGATGTAATTGTTCACTTTTACTTATTGCAAAGAAAGAAAATAATATGTTATTTACCGAAAGCAATATGTGACAATCTTATTTACAAGCCAAAACAAATATAGACTTTCTATTAACGTAAAAGGTTCGTAATTGTAATGTGAAAGGTTTGTTATATAAACTGAATATATACGATTGCCAGAAACAAGGTTATTTACCTTTTTATTTATTAGTCACAATTGGCACGAAGTGGGACATGTTGAATACTTTTATTTGCAAAAATTCAAAGGTTACGTTATGTTTTGTGCCAATTTAAATAAATTAATATTATTAGCATTAAACTTATAATAATTATAACATAACATTTAAACCGTAAATGTTTCTAGAAGTAAAAAAAATGAACTATTAGATTTTTTAATAATCAGATTAGGATTTCCATTAGCTTTAATTTATGCATCTAGCATATTCTGATACGTGATTACCTAGATATCTCATTATTGATTTAGCGCTGACCGCGTTTATTTATTTACCCACTTTATTACCAGTCCACAGATCATTATAATACAAAGCCGCTTGTTAATTGATTTATCAATTTGTAGCGTGGTACAAGTGACGAGATACAGATTTTTAAATTGCAACACAACTGATATTATCTTTTAATTTCATATGTTAAACAAAGAAAGCTATGCTAAGCTGAACACTTCTTTGGTTATAAGACCTAAAGAAACAATTGAACTCTATAACAATCAAAGTTAGTTATTTTTGTTTTGTTTGTTAAATGCTCGTAACTCTTGTTCAACTTCTGGTTGTAAACGACCTCATGGATACTTCTGAACGGATGCAACTCGGCCCACGACTACAGGCTGGAAACCAGCTCAGTACACGCTCAGCCTGCATTGTTCTCGTCTTTTTTGTTAAATTACTGTACAAGATGTACTTTCGTTTCTTATGACAAAAAATATATTTTTTTAATTTTTTTTTTATTTTAAGGCGTATTGGTAATATAACATAAGATAGGAAAATATTGTTTAAGTCTACAATATACCAAAGCCAGTCTTTTGTTTTATCTTTATAGACATTCAGAAGTATTTACTTCTATCAAACTTCGAAGTTTCTCTTATAACTTGTACCATATGAAATGAGTAAGATCTCATCAAGAACACGATGTTTTACAACAAAGGATGCACAGCTGCGTCATTACAACGAATAGCGCTGATAGCTCTAGATTGTTATTGACTTTACGCTACGCGTTATTCGATATAGTCAAGGACTAGGCGTAAATATATACAAATGTTCACGTATTGACTTTAGAATTGTATATATAGTGCGTTAAGACGACTCAATTTTCTGAACAAGAAGTTACAAATGTGCCACTAAATTATGCTCCTTTAAACTGAGGGTCTTATTCACTTTTATAGGAGACTAGCATTCGCCCGCAACTCCGTCCGCACGATATTTAAAAAAACTGAATTAGTAGCCTATGTGTTCTTCCAGATTATGTTCTACATCTATGCCAAGTTTCATCCATCCATCCATTCAAACATTCGCATTTATAATATTAGCAAGATGAACTCGTATGTCAATTCTAGTGTCAGAAATCATGTAACGGGATGTGAATCAAAATTTTAAGACTTTAGGCTACACTAGTAATATTGTACGTAGTACTTACAATGTATATTATCCCATCGATGGAAATCTCCTGCGAAGAATAGCGGCAGCTTGCAGGCGAGCGCGAGCACCGCCACCCCATCCAACCGAGCGCATTGCTCCTCCACCAGCGGCTCCTGGCACTGCACGTTCACCATGATCACTGGACGACCGCATATTAGGAATACTACAAAAAAAACCATTTTATGTTAATGAAAAAATCAAAAAACTCGATTCACTTGTCAATATCGCTTCAGACGTTTAGGCTATAAGAGATCTTTATCTATTTATATAAACAGCATAAGTCTTCATACATAAGTAAAGAAAGATTATTCGCTTAAATCAGTAGAGTAAAAACAGTAATTAGTAAGTTATACACAACTAAGTCTACGTCGATTTCTTAAAGGCGTTTGATAAAGTATTACTTATTAAAATGAGCAATAAACGAATTATTTTCTTATTACGAGCATTAAAACGGACTGATTAATGTCGATTTCTGATCTGATTAAACCTTACATAGAGTCTTGAAGAAATATTAGTCTCAACTTTCGAAAGTAGACTGCGGTGTACCTCAAGGATCCAATCTGGTGCCGATTGTATTACCTTTCGATTCCTAATATGTACTATCCAAGACTATTACTTAATACATAATACGATAACATGTTACATAATACAAGAATATTATTGTCATAAACATATGGAACGTCTATATTGGTATATGTATTGATTTTGTATTACTCATAAAACACAGCAGCGGTTTGTGATAAAAGCAGATTTATAAGTTCATCAACGACACATGATAGTTTATGTAATATAATAATGTATTTACAAGTTGTTATGTATAACAAAATATATATATTCCGAACACATTTGTCTTCGTAATACATTTTGTCTTCGCTTTATTTTATACTCTTGGTCACAAAGACTTTTAAATATGTACATGCCTTTGGCGTTATCACATTATGACAATTTCTTTTATTATCTCGACTTTAAATAAATCATAGTCCAATAAACGGTTAATCCTTTAACAACACAGACAGACAACAAACATTTGATAGTAATGTTTGTTATAGTTTTAGAAAAATATTGAACATTAAAGACAATTTAACTTGTATTATTAAGTTGTCTTTTTCTATATTTCAGGTTATTTCTTATCCGTCTTCAGTCAATAAGATGATTTTATAATACTTTTTAGTTTCAAATCCAAAGAAAGTTAAAGGTTTACGTAAAGAATGTTGTCCTGACCACGACTAGTAATGAGTTAATGGCTAGGTAATTGTCTCATTGACCCAGTTTGATAGTAAGGTTTCATAGTTACGAAGAATTCTCAAATACCAAGAAAAATTCTATTTGTCAAGACGTTGACTTTAAGGTAAAAAGAAGAGTTTTAAATTGATTCTTTATTTAGACAAAATGTGAATGAGACTATAATTAGGCTTATACGAAGATAACTAAATCTAGAATAATAAGTTATATGACTAATTTGAAGATATATTGTGAAACGAGGCATAAAAATACTAAAGTTCTTAATTATCTTGTAGTATGTAAATTTACTTATTTAGAGCGTCGGTGGCTCAGGGATCAAGCACTTGACTTGCGATCTGCAGGTCTTGGGTTCGAATCCCGCCATGTACCAATGTGTTTTTCGATTTCCGATTTACATATGTATATTTATCCGACGTTCTTTTGGTGAAGGAAAACATCGCGATGCAACCTGCACATATCTGAGAAGAAATTCAAAGATATGTGTGAAGTCAACCAACCCGCACTTGGCCAGCGTGGTTGACTATGGCCTAATCACCCTTAACTTAGGGAGGGTCCGAGGCCCTCGGTGGGGACGTATACTGAGCTGATGATGTAAATTTACGGTACATATGACTTCCCCCCAAGCCAACAATTCGTGTAATGAAAAAACAACCATAAAATCTACACAATAAGTGTACAAATTGGTTGTAGAAGACTTTTTGCATGTATTTTTGCAACACAATCGAATAATTTTAACAACGCGTAACCGCTATCGCTTTCAGCTTTATCGACGACTCACAACCTTTCCGTTTCCCATAAAAATATCGACATCGTCACGGACGTTTGAGGTTTTTTTACTATTTTTAGTACATACCTTTTAAAATGTTTTGTGTGATATTGCAAATGGCACATACTAAATTACAATAATATCAAATTAGGTTACCCTAGATATTAAATGTTACCTTATTAAATCCTAAAATAAGGATAAAATTGAATGTAATAGTTTGAATAAACGAACAAACAGTATTTTGTTTGCAATAACAAATAAGGCGTTACAAGCAAAAACTACAAATAAACATGACCAATTAATTTATATATATTGAAGTTGTTGCATCATAGTAACCCGATTGCTTACGAATTCTGAGACTAAAAATAGCTATTAAATTTGTGTTTTAATTATTTGAAAAGTGTATACACATGCTGTAAACTATACCTACAACTTTACTTCTTTAGATTAATATGTTGCCTGCGACTCCGTCCGCGAGGAAATAAATAAACGTAATTAGCCTATGTGTTCCAAACTATGTTCTACATTTATGCCAAATTTAATTGAGATCCGTTAAACCGTTCTGGGGATCGAAACATCGAAACATTCGCATAATATAGCCCTTTATTCTGAAATTATATAGTTACAGGTATTCAAAAATTTATAAGATGTCTCTAATCTCAGTGTGCCTCTTGGCATAGGCCTTCTCTAAACATTTTCATTGTTGTCTGTCTTGTGCGTCTCTCCTCCAATATGGGCCGGCTGCCGTCTGTATGTCATCCTCCCATCTCATATTGTTTATGATTACTAATATTATTCTTCATTTAAAAAAGTCAAGATCAAATAATAATTGATTTTATATTAAAATGATATTATACGTAAAATAAAATGTATCACGAGGTTGGAACATGCGATGTAAATTGGCTAACGTCGGATATCCGGCCGCATGTCACACTCATCGCTTTATGATGCAGATATATGAATTGTTTAGACATGCCAAACAATTATAATCGTATTCATAAGATAGTGCCAACTTTTCACTTAACATGCAATTAAGAAATCTAAGTATTTTTAGACATTATTAATTAGAATCCTTTGGCGTGAATGACGTGCTTTCGTTACAAAGTCCAGTGTCAGAATGAATTGTGAGAGAACATAAACGTCGACATTTTAGCAAGGCTAGTATTGTGCCAGTATACCGACACAGTGTCGGATTTTCTTCCTAACAGTACTATATTCTAAGACTTTAAATTTAATATCTAGTGAAGAACGATAAAAAAGATTGACAATTTGGAAATTTGAAATAACCTTTTATTAAATTCTTTTGTAATGGTTTATCTAAAAGTTTTATGTCAACATTTATATCGTATAGTTAATTTTGCACCGAACGGATTTATTGCACGGTTGATATAAACTAATCCGATTTGGTTTATTTATACATCAGTGTCGCCAGTTGCGGACAAACGACATCAGTGTCGACGTCGGCTAAAACAAGTTCCCTTTGTTTTTGCAATAAGAGTGCATATAAGTACTATTTTAACTTCTGAAGTGAATATTATAACCAACTAGGTAACCAAGTACTACTTCTCAATGAATCTACTACAACATTTTGGACACTAACTTCCATACCTAGAGAATTAAGTAACCACTAAAGAAATACTATTATTGCATGTAATTTTAAAACAGAAAATCTACAATTTGTTGATATGCAATAGCTTTACAAAAATATATAACAAATCCAGGCCTAAACTTCCGTGACATGTTGCTATATTATATTATCATAAGAATCGAACAGGAAGCTACTTAGCATGGTGCGAGGTGCGCTAAGCGATGCTCTTTAATGCCTTTGCCGCGATATATTCATATTCATACGACACATTGTCGTGTATCCGTTGTGCCTAGCGACGGGTTACTTTCATTTTAGTCTATATCACACTTTGGTTTAGCGATCTATGATGCGAGAGAGGGAAAGAGCGAGAGAAATCTAGGAATCTAGGGGTCCTGTTACCGCGGAAAAAAGAACATGTCTAGACATAAAAGATGACACACACGACATAAGGTAGCAGACACGAAGACAGACAAGAATTTTTGGTACTTGTTGATATTAACAAAGATCTCTAATAAGCTATTGTGATTTATTTCTCATATGCACACCGGGACAGATAAGGACCGTGTCGCACTTTTTTGAGATTGCCGTAAGGGTTTTTGATACCTATGTTTACTTAGTTTTAAGTACTAGGCCACATAAGTATGTCACAATATATGTTGTTGAAGCACTGGTCTATATCGTATCGCTTTTAAACATATAAAACTCCACTTGACAAGTAAAGGTTATAAACACGGAACCGGATGCTCTTTGTCTTCCTTACACAACATAAAGAGACTTTCCTTGTTAATTTACATTGTATGTAAGGGCGTATTTGTCTCAAATATATATCACATGATGTAATCTTGTTTGTCGAAGTTTAATTCAAGAAGTAATCAGATATAAGGAGTATTATTTGACTATACTGTTTGTACATTCTTCTTCTTCTTGAGGTGTCTCTCCGACTAGCGAAGGTTGGCGATCAGTTCTCCATATTTTCCTTTGTCTCTTGCGAGGCGAAAAAGTTGGGCGGCACTCGCAACCCCTGTCCACTTTCGAATGTTGCGCAACCAGGACTTTTTTCTGTCACCAACACTCCTTTACATTAATTACATTTATTGTAGATATTACTTATTACTATGATTATAAATGTGAAAGTTTACATGGATGGATGTTTGAAGGTATATTCGGAACGTCAGAACGGATTTTGATGCAATTTAGCACACACGTGGAACATAGTCTGGAAGAACACAAAGGCTACTTACTACGTTTTTTTTTAATTCCGCGCGGACTGTGTCGCGGGAGTTAGCTATTTATATTGAATAAAAAAAATATTATAAATGTAATAGGGTTAACGAATGCGCTGAGATCAGGGTCATGGTGATGTCAATAACACTTGTGCGCGCCTGTCACATTACCATAGCCAACTTAAATAAACTCATTTACACCATACGATTTGTGCGAGCATTCTATTATCATCATCCATTTATTTAGCACACCTAACTCTTAAGCCCGCACACTATAGACTTTTAGTTCCCCGATAATTTAATTGTGCGCTTAATCACTATGAGCACGTAATCAGTGTAATGTG